ATGGGTGGGAATCAAAAGACTTAAATTCTAGGTATTGGAGACTTTGTCCTTCAACTTGAGAATGATAAAAGCATGGTCCTAAAATCAACTCTTTTTATGCTCCTAAAATCAGGAAGAGTTTGGTTTCGATTGTTAAATTGGCTAAGGTATGCTACTGCACCATCTTTATAGGTAATAAGGTGAAAGTCAAATATGAGAATGAATTAGTCATGAATAGTCACCTTGTAGATGGTTTCTTTCCAGTTGCAATAAAGAATCCCATTTTTTATATCTCGTATCATAATGATGACAATGATGATGCGTATAGATGGCACATACTACTAAGGCACATAAATCCTAAAAGGATGGAGAGATTAACAAGAGAGGACTTGCTAAATAATCTAAATGAAAACTTAACCAGAGTCTGTGAATCAAGTGTTCAAGAAAAGCTAGTTAAGAAATTCTTTGAGAAAGCTCAAAGAGCTACTGCCATATTAGAAGTTGTCCCTAGTGATATTTGTGGACCTATGAATGTGGCCACTAAGGGCCGTAAGAGGTACTTTATCACTTTTATTGATGATCACTCCCGTTTTAAAAACTATAAGGCTGACGTAAAAACCCAAACAAACCAGAAAATGGAAGTCCTTAGATCAGATAGGGGTGGAGAATATTCCTCTTGATTATTATACAAATTATGTACTGAGCATGGTATTATACATCAATTTACTTAGCCGTAAACTACTCAGCAAAATGAGATAGCTGAGAGACGGAATAGGACCTCGATGGAAATAGTGAGGAGCATGATAGGACATGCTAATCTCTACCTCGATTTTTGGGGAGAAGCTATTGTGACAGTCAATTATATCCTTAATCGAACTCCCACAAAAGTTGTCTCACTAACTCCTCATGAGATTTTCACTGGTTGTGCTCCATCCCTTGATCACCTCAAAGTGTGGGGATGCTCTACCCATGTCTAATACCCTATCAAAACAAAATTAGATCCTAAAACTGCTAAGTCCATCTTCATAGGATACCTACCACATGGTAAGGGATACCATTTTAATAACACTGACACAGCGGCCGTCCAAGAAAGTAGGGATGCTCATTTCCGTGAGGAAGAATTCCTTGAGGGTCGTGCCACTTAAAAACAAGCTGAGATTAATGAAATAGAAAGTGACACAATTCAGGCCTTGGATCCCGAATCACCTTGTCCTCGGAGAAGTAATCAAATAAGGAGAAAACTTGAGTTCTTCACCTACCTAGGACAATATCATGAGATAATTGAAGTAGAATTCCTACATGAACCATGTTCCTACCAAGAAGCCATAACATGTCACGAAAAGGCACAATAGGAGAAGCCATGACTAATGAACTTAACTCGATCAAACAAAACAATGTTTTGGAACTAGTGAAACTACCTCCTGATAGAATACCCATAGGCTACAAGTGGATTTATAAGAAAAAATTAAACTCAGAAAGGAAGTTGGAGAAATACAAAACCAGATTAATTGCAAAAGGGTTTACCTAGAAAGAAACAAATTATGATGAGATGTTCCCTATAGCAAATTTCCCTTCCATTAGAATCCTAACAGCCATGGCAGCCCATTTGGACTTTGAACTCCACCAGATGGATGTTAAGACTGCATTTCTGAATGGGTAGTTAGAAGAGGAAATTTATATGAAACAACCAGAGGCCTTCATAAAAAAGGGTAAGGAAAACATAGTGTGCAAATTCAATAAATCCCTTTATATTAACCAAGTATCGAAGCAGTGGTATATTAAGTTTTAGGAGAACTTGTCATTGGCTGGTTTTGAACCAAATAGGAGGACTACTATATATATGTCAAGGTTAGTGGGAGTGGTGTGGTTTTCATCTCCCTATATGTAGATGACACGTTAATTGCCAACTGTTCGATGAGTCTCATATGGGAGATAAAAGCTTTATTGGCACAACATTTTGATATGAAAGATCTTGGAGAAGCATCATATGTTTTGGGAATCAAAATTACCCCAAACAGAAAAGAGAGAACAATTTAAATATCTCAAGAGACATATTTTGCAAAAATTCTTCAAAATTTTGAAATGGAAAATTGGGGGCCCATATTAACCCCCATTGATAAGAAGATCAAGCTTAGCCTAGTCATGTGTCCTACTACTCCAGAAGCAGAGAACTCCATAAAAAAGTGCAATTGGGTCTCTAATGTATGCTATGTTTAGGGCAAGACCGGATTTACCTTTTGCCATGAGTTTGATTAGTAGGTTCCAGAGTAATCCAAGCATGGAGCACTGGAAGGCCACCAAAGAGTATTGCGATATTCAAAGGGAACAGTTAATTACACACTCACTCGGATATACAGATACGAGGATATTCAGAAGCAAACTATTGGGGCGATCCAGATGAGACAAAGTCAACATCCAGCTATATCTTCACGCTTGCAGATGGAGTTGTTTCTTGGTGATGAAAGAAACAAGATGTTGTTGCGCTCTCAACTATGGAGTCAAAGTATGTGGCATGTTGTTTCGCGGCTAAAGAAGCAGTCTCGTGAAGTTCCTGAATCAACTCATATATGATCCAGTGAAGTGCCTGTGTGTCAGAATCTTCTGCGACATCTAGGTAGCTATTTGTGTGTCAAAAGAGCTGAGGTTTCACAAGAAATTGCAGCATATAAAGTCGTGCTACTACCATATTCGCAACGAGATCCAAGCATGAGAGATTTGGGTTGCTTATCTCTTACGTTAGCAGATTATTTGACAAAAGGATTAATGGCAAATATTTTTGCCAAACATATAAATGGGACGGGCTTGAGAGAAATTGAGAGGGAGTGATTGTACGACCTTCAAAGGCCAAGTGGGAGATGTTGGGTTTTGTGGCCTTTAAAGCCCTAGAATATTTGTAAAAATGATAATTTATAGTGGAATATGCACTTCAATGGGAGTGTGTGTGTTGACTGACTATGAGTTGGGCAGTTTATGGCCTTGGTTATGTCCAGAACCCATAACCATAGGCATGTAGCACTACCGAGAAGGATTTACACTGGGTCATCCCTTGTTGAGGTCGGAAGATGCCCAAGGATGATGTTTGTAAGCTAGGAGAACTGTGTAGTCTCCTGTGCGCAGTTGTCGGCTTGTGAAAGCAAGAGCCAAAGCCTCAACAACCTTCCACACGGTATGTACACATGGCAACCACATTACTGAGAAGCATCCCTATAGAGGGACAAGTGTACATACATATACAGAGCCCCCTTTGCACTGTGGTGACAACTGTTGAACTTACTCTTCAAAAGGGAACTGCAATCCACATTCCATGATCATAGTTCTACTATTTATTGTCAAACTTTGACAAGCCAATCATAAACCCCTGCATCGAGAATGTGGACCATAAGTCTTTGCTGGGTTGGACAAGAAAACAGTGGTAGATCATGGTTCATGGGTCTATTGGAGTGCCTTTATTATCACTAATTTTGACCTATTGGTATCAGTCCAATTTTAAAATATTATATTTTGGTATTACAAATGTTTTTATGATTTTTTATAAATTTTTCAGAATTTAAAAAAAATATATGTTCTAAAATCCTTTAAAACGCCATTTTCATAATTTCTGAAATTTAGAAGGGCACATGTGGGGCCTAGGATCTAGCCCCACATGTGTGCCAACCATGAGTGGGACGTGGGCCATTGTGGGGACCACTTAATCTCTCTTGGGTGGCACACCCTCTTTCTTTAATTTATGTGACATTTCTTTTTTGTTAAAGGTTATTTTAGGTGAATCTTTTAAATATTAAAAGATTGTTTTGATTAGGAGTTTAGTTTTACCAAAACTCTAATTATTTTGACTTCCTACAAATTTTGGAAAGACATTGGGAATTGGTTATAATTCTAATTTAAACAGAGTTGGAATTGGGTCAATTTAAGGGGATAAGATTTCTAATAATCCTCCCAAAATCATAATGGTTGATTTGTGGGAAGAATGGCTCAAATTTGTTCTCTCACACCCAATAGATTTTTTAAGTTCCTAATGGTCAAGCTGTATCTTTGGATAGGCAACACCTAAGAAAGGATTCTAATCCAAATAAGAGAAGAAATTTTTTCTATTTAAACACCATTGAGCCCCTCTCTCAATACATATATTTCTCTCTCCTCCATGCACCAAATCTCTCTCTCTACCATTAAAAATTCATTTTGCTCTCTCCGCACTTCCAAAAAGGGTCATGTCACCCAAAATTTGATAAGACAAGGGTAGCACATTGAAATCTTAATTAGGGTTTTGCTGTTTGGAGAAGAAAAAGGGGTATGCCCAGCCATATGAGGATTCTATACGTTCAAGCCCAGCCTTAATTTGTTCCTAAGGGTTCCTACAAACCCTAGTTAGGTTTCCATGTTCTCCAAAACCCTAGAGTAAGAGATATTGCCTATGAAAGCTTCCCATCTCTGAAATTCCAGCAAGATCAAAAGGGACAAAAGCGCGTCATCAGTCAAGGAATCGGTTGTGGGGTGGATCAAGACTTGTGAGGATAACTCCAGACACCTTCTAGTAAGGCTTCCCAGTAGACTTAACTCAAAACTATTGTGGAAGATTGTTTATTGCTCTTGGATGGTTATTATTTGCTTTGGCAGTAAAAGCAAATAACCTAGGTTGTATTTAAGGTTGTAAATTTAATTTACAACAGTGTATAGTGGCCCATGTAAGTGGAATTCAGGTATATTGAATAAAATAAAAAGAAATTTTTTGAATTTAATACCTTGAGTTCCACATAGCCACTCCTTTCACAACCTTTCGATAGACAAGTTCAAGAACCTGGAATAACCTCCTATCAAATTGGCAACACCTCTATAGCCAAGCTAAGATACATAGGAAAACAAAACCGGTATCCAAATTTGTCATAAAAGCAAAAGGCAAAACAAGGGAATATCTAATAATAATGATATGTATAAAAAAGTGAAAGCAAGAAAAACGACACCCTTAATGCATATTACCACAATAATTGAGAACACATGTCATCGTAGTAGCGAAAAACAATAACCTGGTAAGGTGAAAGGATCCTCTTTCCAGATGACTCCAAAAAATTCAGTCCATTTGGGATGAACTCCCAGTAATCATCAGGTAGCAACTCGTTCAAAGCCTTTCCATGAAACTTGGCTGGCAGCCGTGGGTCCACTTCCATCATAATAGACAAACATTTCTTTCCAGAGAAATCCCTTGTCACAACCTTAAACTTCAGTGAGGGATACCACTGTTTTTCATTGAAGCCCTTTTTCTGTAGGAATACACTTAGTCAGTTGAATAAAAAACACTCAGAAAACTCCCAAATCAAAACAAGAAACACTACTTACAGCACAATACTTGCAATCTCCTTTATCCAACATTTTCAATTTCTTCCCCTAAAGAGGGAAAAAAATTAGCATGTCAGAACAACCAAATAGTATATATCATATTAAAAACACCTTAATGATAATAAACCACATAAGCCTATTTCACACATGAAAGAACACAATAACAACGATGACCAATTGAAAATGAAATAATCAACATATTCAACAAAGAAAGGTCCAAACATACAAAAATAAATATACAAAACCTTAGTTGCATGGAGCAGGAGCAGGAGAAAAAGGAAGACCCATTTTTAAAGAATTCATGTTCAAGAGCATCTGTGGTACATTTAGTCAAAAAGACAAAACCAAAATCATAAAAACCCAATAAACTAAACAAAGAAATGCATGCTTCAAAAACTTTTTAAAAACCAATACTTTCCATTGAATCATAAGAATTTAGCAATCATATTAGAGACATTTGCGTTGCTCATTCTGAGCATTTCTTTTCAGACAAATACATTTTCAAGTTATCGTTGTAACCAACGAAAAAAAAGGCCCTTGAACAGGTAAAGGAGAATGCATTTATGCCATGAAAACCATAAGAGATGCCGGCACATATAAAAGAAGTTTGTATGTTATCTCAACAATGCATTTCACGCACTGTGTCCTTGTTTTACACATATCCATCACAGCAGTTTCAGTAAGAAAATTGCTGTTGGCTTTAGATTGAGGTAGTTTGAAATATTTAACTAATTAATACAATAATGATTACATATAAACATTCTCAAGTAAGCCCACACCAAGAAATAGCACATATTGAACATCTACCACACACTGCAAGGGATAAGCAAAACCATCTATGTTATTAAGAATATCACTTGTCCATCACTCCAAAAGAGCTGACTCCATAGGGTCCTTAACCAATTGTATGTACATTAAAAAGTGGCCTTTTTGGAGTTTAAGGATCACAATGCTGCTTCTGCATTTTAACACAAGAGACAGGTTTTACCATCAATCCCTGAGTAATATTGCTGGAACATTATAAAAACAACACAATGGAATATGCAATCTACTTTACTGCTCTTCAACAAAAGCGCCTAAAGATTGATACAGAAATTAGTCACTGCAAAAAGGACTACTTTTATTAACCCTAGAATGAGTCACTGGATGTTAGGTATTGTTCATTACATAAATGCTCTTAACATTCAGGGTTATTACATTGTGAAATAAAGATAACAATAACACCCTTTACACTTGTTGCAGTCATGAAAGATAGTCTAACTTCCACCTTAAATTGTACATTGTGCTTCAACATGTAAAATTTGTCTATTAAAAAGTGAGATCATTCACTGGTGAGCCCTTTGTTCTGCAATCTGATTTTTGGTGCCAATATAATCTGTTCAAATCAACTGTACTTCCATCTCCTCACACACAAAATGATAATCAATATTTATGCGCTTAGAGCGGTTATAAAAAAAGAGAATTATTGCAATAGCGAGTGCAATCCATTAACATAATAGATGGTGTACTGTTGTACTTTACAACCAAGTGATACAGTCACATTTCGTATCCAATAAGTCTGAGCCACAATGCTCAACAATAGTGTATATTCAGCCACTGCACTTGATCTTGCCACGGATTTCTGTTTCTTACTCCTTCCAAGATATCAAATTTTTTCCCTCAATAAAAGCAATATCCCAAGACTGACCTGCATGAATCAAAAAATCTTGCTTAATCAATATCGGAGTATCCAGAGATGGAAGCAACACCTACATCACCTACGTGATTTTTCAGGTATGTAATGCCTTGAGTAATGGTTGCTTTCACATACCAGATTATCTTTTTTAGTGCATGCATAAACTGGCAAACCTGATTTAGGCATGTAATGCCTTAACTGATGGATCCTTTCACATATCAAATTCTGTGCATAAACTAGCAAACCTGATTTACCTTGAAGGCTATGTCATGGCAAGTAAAGTTGTGGCTCTATAGTGTGCCTGCATGCTTCATTACTTTTTTTGTTCTTCAAAGTAATAGTCCTTAATTCTCTCTAGATCTTTTGTTGGCCGCTGTTGGAGTGGCTAAAAGTTTGCAATGCAAACTACTAGTGCGCTCCAGTACTAGTGCGCTCCAGTAAATCAAGTTTTGAGAAAATTGGAGTTCATCCAGAGCATGATCTACTTCTATCCCCAAAAGTATTGTAGTTGTCCCAAATCCTTCATCTGAAATGTGTCACGAAGGAATCTCTTGATGTCGACAATACGATCCAAAGAACTTCCAGTAATGATGATGTCACCGACATATAGGAGAACAATCGCAATACCTCTGGTGCTCTTTATGGATGAAAAGAGAATGATCCACAGCTGTCCTCATGAATCCATAATCCTTTATTGCATGATTAAAGATTTGAAACCAAGTACGAGAAGCCTGCTCCAATCCATAGATACATCTCTTTAACTTATAGTTATACACATACGCCGAAAGATCCTTCTCACCGAAACTTGGGACCTGCTCCATGTACACATCTTCTTTTAACTGTCCACGAAGAAAGGCATCTCATGTCAAATTAGAAAAGACGCCAATCATATGTCAAAATAAGGGAGTGAACTACTCAAATAGTGACAATTTTAATTTCTTCGGCATAACTTCAACCCACTTCAGCTTGTTTTTTGCAACATGATAGTTGATAGGCTCCATTACTTTGAGAGCTTATTATATAAGTGCTTGATATGCATTTGTGAAGTTTTCATAGCTTATCCAGTGATCTATAGGATGTCAGATATATGTGGATATTCCTTGATTTGCAGCAGAATCTTCATAAATTGAGGTAGCTTCTCCGTATTCAGCATGGTGTCCTCCTAACTCAACATCCATATTTTCAGCATTATAACCTTACTCCCCTAGGATATGTGCATTTTCCTCATGTTTCCCTTCTACATCAGCCAACTTGCTAGCCATGTTTTCATCATGTTGTCTTGTATATTATCTATGAAATACAATCACCTTCCCAGTTGTAATGTTGGGCTGCTTATCAGGCTTTTGTCTATGGTATAGGATTACCTCTTTGGATGCAATATTAGGTTGCTCATTAGATGGAGTATCGTCATCATCAAGATTTTCAAAATCTTCATCAATGCGATGAGGCACACTCATAAATGGTTTGAAGTTGATGAGTATGGTTAGGAGCATGCCCATACAAAATGACTCCATCATTTCTCATGACAGATTCTTGAGTGTTAAGAATTGTACCCCTTGCTAGAATTTTCGTCTTCTTGCAATAATATGCCCTAGGTGAACTACACATCCTCATTTCATCAATGTAACATATTGTGACATGACATGTTTAAATCCTGAGGTATAACAACATTAGCCCTTATAGCCATTTTAATCCCTCACAAAGATCGACACTTCCACCTTTGCACAGAGTTTCTTAATTTGACTTCTGTCAACATGGACATAAGCATGACATCTAAAAGATTGAAGAATAGAACAATCTCGAATCTTACCATAAAACATATCATAAGGAGTCCAACATTCAAAACATCACTGGCAGCCAGTTTATGACATAAACATCCCAATGAAAAGATTCAAGAGTAAGTCTTTGTCACCCCAATTAAGAACAGAAGGAGAGGGCAACCTTATCAATGTGACGATGTTTTTCTTTTGCCACTTCATTTTGTAATGGAGTATGCAGGCATGAAATTTGTTCTTGTATCCCACTATTCTTTAAGTAGTTCCTAAAATCATGAGATGAGAACTCAACCATTCCACTTTGGACAAAATAATATTAGTTAATGATTTTTTGCAAATCTTCTGAATTTTAAAATATTTTGAATACTTGGGATTTTCTTTGAGGGAGTAAATCCAAGTATATCATTAGAAATCAACCACAAAGATTACATAATATTTTGAGATTACATAATATTTTGAGTGACAAGAAATGACTGGTGACGGTCTCCTTAACATCGGAATGGATCAACGCAAGAGGTGAGGAAGCTTGTAAATTAGAATGAGAAAAAGGACCCAACTGACAAGCACAGCAAATGAACATAGTTCGAATCCTAGACAATGAGGGGACTAAACCCTCATTACATAATTTATTGACTGACTCATGGCCACAATGCCCTAGACGGTGATGCCAAACACAGACATCATATTTTCTCAAAAAAACATAGACATCATATTTTACTTGTAATGAAGACACTAGTAATTAGAAGCTTCCTCAATTGATCATCCAGTACATATAGATGTTCTCGTCCATTCCGTATAGCGAACCTGGTCCGAAAGTGAAGAAAATAGAAGACTGTGCAGATATAAAATTTGATTTAATTTCTTGAGTTAATTGAGATACAAAAATAAGGTTGAGCTTGATTTTGGGGAGGAGCAGAAAGAGTATATAGAAGAATAGTAGCCATGGAAGAATTTACAAGGGCATTACATATATGAGTGATAGGAAGCTAGAAACTATGAAACCGCAACCAAAATAAAGGCTAAGTGATAAGAATTTACTGGGATCGCCCATGACATGGCTCGACACCCCTCCATCAACAGTCCACGCTTGATCATTCAGTGGGGTCAATGACCCAGCTTCCATCAAAGTTTTTTGCGCAGCAACTTTGTCTCCATCGTTTTCTCCCCTTTGGTTAGAGCAATAGCAGCTGTCCACAGCAATGTGGTTTTGGTAACTAAAATTTTGACACATCAAACCATTATTTTCAACATTGGTATTTTTTTTATTATTAGGTGTAGGGTGAAGAGCACGCCCTTGGTTAGGCTAAAATGAACGATCTCCACCTCCTCTTCCAAGTTCTCTATTGCCACGACCACATTTGTAATCTCTTCTTCCTCCATTATAAGATGGAGGGTTGCTAAGCATGACATACACATAATTAGAATCATGGTTCTGGGCAGCTATAGGCAAAGGATTGTTGTAGAAGAGAGCTTTGTGATAAAGTAGCAAGGATGGATTATGGAAAAAAGTAGAAAATGGAGGCTTGGAAGTAACCAATATGATGAACATCCTATATTCTTCCCTTAAACCAACAAGGACATAATATACCTGCCTTTGT